AAACGTTGGTTGCCCTATCAGCGAAATTATAAATAATTTGAAAACCACAAATGAATTAAAGTAATTTGTAAGACTTTAAAAAATATATATATTTGCCAATTTATCAAAAAAGTTGTATAAAAAATTAATCCGGGTTCTTCACAGTGGCATGTACCGCCAATTGCTCTAGTGTATGTTTTAAATGACAGATGTCCTTTTATCGAAATAAGAAATTAAAAAAATTAAAATGAAATAATTTTCAAAAATGTTTTCAAAATGTTACCAGCCAATTCATCAAACAATTTTGGATCAAAAAATGTATTAACATTAATTATTACAATTATTGTATTAATGTACACAGCGGAATGAACCGCCAATTAATCTGGTTTATGTTTTTAATGGCACATGCCCTTCCAGAGAAGTAAAAATTTTGAAAACTGGAATTAAAGTAATTTTGTAAGAATTTGGGAAAAAAAATTATCAGCCAGTTTATCAAAAAACATATCAAAAAAGTTATCAGGGGTCGCCACAGTGGAATGAACTGCTAATTACTCTGGTGTATGTTTTAAATGGCGGCTGTCCCAGTGAAATGCATTTTTTGAAAAGTGAAATAAAACAAATATATTTTTTAAGGCTTTTCAAAAAATTATCAGCAAATCTATCAAAAAATGTGGTATCAAAAATTTATCAGGGGTCGCCACAGCGGAATGAACCACCAATTACTCTTATGTATGTTTTAAACGTTGGTTGCCCTATCAGCGAAATTATAAATAATTTGAAAACCACAAATGAATTAAAGTAATTTGTAAGACTTTAAAAAATATATATATTTGCCAATTTATCAAAAAAGTTGTATAAAAAATTAATCCGGGGTCTTCACAGTGGCATGTACCGCCAATTGCTCTAGTGTATGTTTTAAATGACAGATGCCCTTTTAGCGAAATAAGAAATTTAAAAAATGAAAATGAAATAATTTTCAAAAATGTTTTCAAAATGTTACCACCCAATTCATCAAACAATTTTGGATCAAATAATGTATTAACATTAATTATTACAATTATTGTATTAATGTACACAGCGGAATGAACCGCCAATTAATCTGGTTTATGTTTTTAATGGCACATGCCCTTCCAGAGAAGTAAAAATTTTGAAAACTGGAAATAAAGTAATTTGTAAGACTTTTCAAAAAGAAAAAAAAAAGAAAAAAAGAGCCAATTCTTAAAAAAAAATTGTATCTAAATTTTTTAGCATGTTGATTTAAGCTGGGTTTTGCACTACAATCTAGATTTTTCGCTGTAAAAAAAACTAAATGACAAAAAACCACAACAACAAATGTTTTTATGTTACTTTAACTAATTTTAATTAGTTAATCAGGTGAATATTTTTAGTTCTACGAAGTTGACTGATGTGAGTTGAAATGACTAGAAAAGTTCATTTCATTCAACTAAAGAATTTTAGGCAGCAGCATTTTTTTTTACAGTAAATGTTGCATTTTACAAATTGCAACCCAACAATAAAATTAGGAAATTAGGGCTGGGCGATTAATCAAAAAGTAATGGAAATTGACATTTAGAACCTATACTCGATCAAACTTGACCAGATAGATTTTCTCGATTACTTTCCCTATGTGTGGAGTCACTTTGTTAAAGGCACTTTGCAGCCACTCATGATAACTGGTCTAGTAGTACGATGGACCCATTCTTGAGCCTTTCTTTGCACTTCATTGATGATCATTAGAGGCTGTGACAGAGATGGCATATTTTCCATTACATTAATATTATTTACACGATATACAAGAGTTATTTCATTTATAAGAGATGCTGCTTATTTTCTACTTTGAATATGAAAAATATTACAAATATTTTATTTTGTTTCCAAAAGTGCAAGTTATTCATTTTCAGTGTTTTTCATATTCAAAGTAGAAAGTGAGCAGTATCTCTTCTACATCTGAGCAGTATCTCTTCTCTTCTCTGGTGCAGCTTCCTATGATTGCCAATAGTGCAAAGTAAGGCTCAAGAATGAGTCCATCGTCCTACTAGACCTGTTCCTTTTTGCCAATCTTGTGTTTTTTTTTTTTTATTTCAGGTCAAAGCTGATGCTTAATAAATAATCTTAGATAGTGTGTGTTTTCTTCAATTATTTTAAAATTAAGTAATGCACCCTTCATTCAAAAATCTCTCACTTATAAATATGTGAGCATATTTACTGTACAAAACTTGCCGTAATTGAGTTAAAATTAATCGACATTTTGATTTTTAGGCCAGCCCTGATCATAATCATTGTGTTGATTTGTCTTTTTTTTAAAACTGAAATAATTTGAATTAATTCAAAAGCTTATAAACATCAAAAGCAGTGGTTCCCTTGTAGTTTTCCTTTAACATTATGCACAATTTGTGAGCAATTGTCTAAAAAAAAAATCAGATTTTTTTATTTTGTAAATGAGTTGCAAATTAGAATTATGTTTAATATAATCTGAATCTTATGTTTATGCATTTTTCATTTTACCTTGAATTGTTTTGTCCATTGCAATCAAGGTGTTATTTTTATTTTGCTGTATAATTTCCTTTCTAGTTTCATTGAACAAGCAGCCATTAACAATAGAAATATGCTAAATGTTTAGACCTCTTTAAAATATTAAAAAGCCTGTTTATTCTACTCTCCTAAATATCCATCAACATTAGTTTATTTAGCAGACACTTTTACCAAATGAGAAAAACAGAAGCAAAAATTCGTAAGTGTTTAATTCACAAGTACTATGACAATTATTTGAACACAGTATGCATAGTCAAGTTTTTAAATAGATTGTATAGAAAGTGTTAGTAAAACGCTGATGGTGAAAAATATGCATATTGAAAATGGCTAAAAGGAAGGCAAATCTTCCCACCAGCCGGGAACAGTCAATGTAAAGGTCCATTAAAATGATTAACTCTGCCCAATTATTTGCCTGGTTGCATTTTATTATTTAAATCTCACTCAGCTGACCTTATCAGAACAGATCTGGAGCTCATTTTTGGGCCACCAGTTAAGAACGGCCGCTTTACACATTATTTCTCCATCTCAACAGTCATATAGCTCTTTAATAGTTAACCTCATGAAAACGTCTAGCTGATTAATACTCCAAAAAGAATCCTGTTCACCCATTTTGTTAGCATATAAAAGCATAAAAGAAATGGCGGATGTGCAAATCCAAGGCTCATCCCAAGTTTTCCCCCAGCGCAACTCCAGCCCGAAAATAGCTTGGCTTGCGGTTTAAGAACAGGCCTGTGTATCAATCAGCTGAAGCGCGCACATGCACAATTCAACACCCAGTCTGCAAAAATAGATCATCACACTGAGTGCTGGCACGCTGCACAAAAATATGCCATAGCAGTGTGGAGAAAGAACGTGCATTTTGTAGCTGTTTCTTCTATAGATCAGTTTTTGGCTTTGCTGAGGATCTAAAATAAGGCTGGGCAACATGACAAAAATCTTATGTTATACAAGTCAGAATTATTAGCCCTCCTGGTAAATTTGCATTATTTTATATTTTTGTCCCTACTTTCTGTTTAATGAGAGAAGATCTTTACAACACAGAATATACAGAAACAAAACAGAATATTTTTCAAAACATTTCTAAATATAATAGTTTTAATAACTCATCTCTAATAACTAAATTGTTTTATCTTTGCCATATTGACAGTAAATAATATTTGACTAGATATTTTTCAAGACACTTCCATACAGCTTAAAGTGACATTTAAAGGCTTAACTAGGTTAATTAGGTTAACTAGGCAGGTTAGGGAAATTAGGCAAGTTATTGTATAACGATGATTTGTTCTGTAGACTATTGGGAAAAAAATTAGCTTAAAAGGGCTAATAATTTTGTCCTTAAAATGGGTGTTTAAAAAATTAAAAAACTGCTTTATTCTAGCCGAAATAAAACAAATAAGACTTTCTCCAGAAGAATAAATATTATCAGACGTGCTGTAAAAATTTCCTTACCCTGTTAAACATCATTTGGGAAATATTTACAATGAAAATAAAATTCAAATGGGGGTCTTATAATTCTGACTTATATATATATAATGTACAGTATTCGTGCCTGTTTTTTTTAACAATAATACTGTATTTTCAAGATTGCACCTTTTTGTATTAAGGTGTTATTAATTTTTCTGTCTGCATCCTGCACTGTAAAATACCCATAAATAGCAGTTTCTTTTTTTTTTTTTTGTGTGATTCGTGTTTCTATTTTTCCTTGATTAGTTATGCTTTTATATTGTATTGCATTCATTTTATAATAAATGGCATTATTGGAGCTTGATCTTTCCTCCAACCAGTTTTAACCTTGAACAGTTTGAAAAAGTGACTTTGATTAACAATTTTTAATAGTGATATATTGTCATGGTAATGTATATTACGCTACAAAAGCCTTGTAATAAACTGCCAGTACAATTTCTGTTATTTTACAGACTTCTCTTATTATTATTTCTTATACATTACATTATTTCAAACTATGATACTAAAATGTCAATAAAAGTCACTTTGTTAAACTGCAGTTGAATTTTCAGCATAAAAAGTAGACCGAGCAGAAATCAACATCCCATAATGCAATTCACAACACACAAAACATTCATGAATCACAAGATGCGAAAACTGTTGATTTACAGATATTTTTTGCAGTGTGCAATACAGCACACATATAAATTATGGAAAAAAGTATCACTGTAAACAATGTACTTTGTGACACTACGAAATAAACAATAGAGCATAATATGAAACAATAGATGTTTTATGTCATCCATCCAATATATATATATATCATCGTATTGCTAATCTAAAATGAGACATGTGGTCAGCTGGGATGCCATGGGTGATTTCTGAAAGCATGCACTGCTGGACTGAAGTGTTTTTGGGGTTGCTCATAACATGGCCACCTGTTATTCCTGTGGGGAAATTCCATTAGCGTGTTTGGAGTCATAGTGGACACCATGTGCATCCAGAGGAATGTCGAACCGCCCTCTTCCTCTTTCCATTAATATAAAAGACCAAACATGACCAGCCCAGACAGCAACAGACAGAGTACGATTCAAACCTTGCTTCTTTAGCAAACCAAATTAAAACACCATGAGTACAGCTGGAGTCCAGCAGAACCGGCCGTTCAGCAGAGCCGTCCGAAAAATCAAGGTGGCTTCAACGGTGAACAGTCTTGCTAAAAGCTGGCAGAGCTGGGCCAATAAACACAGCGATAAACAAGACACCATCCCGAGCGGATGGATGCCGGATACCATCATTGAAGACGCCAAGGAGAAGCAGAAGGAGAAGAATGAGATGAAACTATTGGTTACTCCTCGTGTGGTTTCGGTGGTTGGAGAAGAAGCTACAGACGATCAGATTAAGACGGGAATCGTGACTAAAGCTATTACGCCGAAGTGTAACGAGTTTGGAAAGGATTTAGTGAGCGTGATTAAGGAGAAGATCAACACCAATCAACTGACGACTGAAGACACCAAAAATTTCCTAGGAAATGAATCTCCTACTAGGAGACGCTACTGTGGGGGGAAAGCAGGGACTTTTGTTAAAGCAATCGGACGGAAAGAGGGAAAGTCGATGGGATCGCGAAGTAGCAGTTTGGATGCTGATGACAGCGGTCTTGGGGAGGAAGCATCTCTGAGCGACAACAGCGATCTGAACGAGAACGAACCCAAGAAACATGTCAACAGACACAAGGTAGGTTTCATTTTATGGGTTTTTTGACTATTTGTGCCTGCAATTGCTTGTATAGAGAGTAACAATCAGCTCTCTGAAGTGACAATTCTATTAATTTTCTCCATAGGGAATGAAAGAACTATTAAATAGTAATAATAAAAATACATTTTATTTATGGTGCATTTTTTTATCCTTAAGTGCTTCAATTACTGTAAAAAAAATTCTGGGATCCACACAATTCCTTCATGTTGTCCAAACACAAATGTATTTACAAATATAAGTGGATTGAAAATAAAAAAAAAAGTTTCCTCTATTACGAATTGTGTTGTTTCAACTCATTATAAATCGGTATTTTAAACAAGCAACACAAGTAATTTTTTCTAGCTATACACTGTACAAAATGCACGGTTCCACGCATTTTCTGTCATGATGTCCCAACACAAATAAATTAATTTAACTTAATTGATTTCACAAATTTCAGTGGATTGAACATAAAATAACTTAGTTGTCCGAAAAAAAAAAAACCTCAAGAATTGTGTTCTGCTCATTTCAAATAAGTAGTTTGCACAAGCAACAAAATTAATTTTTTAAGTGATATGCACAAACAAAATAAGTCCTGATTAGAGCTCAGAGGTTGTATACTGAATGCATTTTGATAAAACCATTAGTTTGCACTGATCTAAAAAGATAGTTCCCCCAAAAATGACATTTTACAACCATTTACTCACACTCAGGTGATTCCAACTTGAGTTTCTTCTGTTGAACACAAAACAAATTATTCTGAAGAATGAATAAAAGCATATTGGCATCTGTAGTAGGAACACAAATACTATGTAAAAGACAATGTCTGTTTTTTTCCCCTCAACATTTTTCAAAATATCTTCATTTGTCTTCAACAGAAAAAAGACTCTCAATCAGGTTTGCAAAAAGTGGTGTGAGAGTAAATGATGACCGAATTAAAAATTTTGTTTACATGCATAATGTAATTTGTGAAGTAAATGTTTATTATCTAGATTGCTGCACAAGTAATGCACCGATTAGAAAAATAATTGATTCGTAACTCTGCACACTCCAATGAAAGCCCTGTAAATGATGTTTCCCAAAATAATTTAACATTTAGATACATGTTTGGCAATGAACTTGAAATACTTTGTTTCCAAACACACAACCAACACATTTAAATTGATAATTTTATATTTAAATAATTAAAAACTTTTCATTTAGGTAATTTAAATCAGGGTTCTGTTTTATTCTTATGAGGACAAAAATGAATAGGAAAAGTACTAATGAAATCAGCGTTGCTGAAAATGGTCCAAAAACTGTTATGTGCCAAATTACCCAACGATTATTCATTCATTTTCTTTTTGGCTTAGTCCCTTATCCAGCATATGTTTTACGCAGCGAATCCCCTTCTAGCTGCAACCCATCAATGGGAAACATCCATACACACTCATTCACTCACATATTCTACGGTCAATTTAGCTTGCCCAATTCACCTGTAGCGCATGCTTTTGGTCTTGTGGGGGAAACCGGAGCACCTGGAGGAAACGTACACCAACACACAGAGAACATGCAAACTCCACACAGAAATGCCAACTGAGCCGAGGTTCGAATCAGCGACCCACTACCTACTGCGCCACTGCCTCGCCATATATAAATATATATATATATATATATATATATATATATATATATATATATATATATATATATATATATATATATATAAATATATATACATGTATGTATGTATATATGTATATATGTGTGTGTGTGTGTGTGTGTGTATGTGTATGTGTATGTGTGTGTGTGTGTGTGTGTGTGTGTGTGTGTGTGTGTGTGTATATATATATATATATATATATATATATACACATATATACATATATTTATATATGGCGAGGCAGTGGCGCAGTAGGTAGTGGATGAATGAATGAATGAATATATATATATATATATAATCACAGTTAGTCACATGCAAAATAAAAGTGTATATATAAAAAGATGCGTATAAATTTTTTTAACACACAAATATATATATATATATATATATATATATATATATATATATATATATATATATATATATATATATATATATGTATGTATGTACTAGATATAAATATTTTATTTATAAATACATGTTACTAAATGCTTTATACATGCATGTGTGGATTAAATACATAATAAAAATGCACAGCATATACTATGTAATTACAAGCGTTTATTTCGGTGAATTATGTGATTAACAATGGTTTCACTGCACTAGTTTAACTAGTTTTAGTGCTTGTTTTGTTAGATGACATGCGACTTTTGATTATCGGTTCATCATTCATTTGCAAAACTAATTTGTGCTGATTTTCGTAGAATGTGTTAGTCGTTTCAGAAAGGACTATAACTTTATTTATATATTTATTTAATAATTGGGCTCTGACTACAATTTAGGCTGTTTAGCAAATCTGGCTTACTGACCTTTCATCTTTTTGGCAATTTTTCCATTTTAATTGAAATTTTAAAAATTTTTCTTTATTCATTCTCACAAAATATGATCGTCATTAACATCTCATCCTCGTTACAAGAGTTTCTATCTCAGAAATATACAAAAATTCATAAACTGTTCATTTGAGGCTCAATTCAAAGCAGTGGAAGTTAAGTATTTTAAAGCAAAGACTGAACATGATGGCAAACAACCATGCGGCTGTGGAGTCCTAACAGCATAAACGCAGTGGAATATATGTAAATGAACACAGAGCTGGGTGATTTGCATCGTGTGACCTTCAGAAAGCAGCATGTTCACCCTGGACTTGATGAGTGAGATACATCACGGCTCTGTCAGCCTGCTATTTGATTCACCAGCTTGCATTTCACAAGACGCATTTGCACCAGTTCATATGGCGCTCTTGTGAAATAAGTGGCCCTTGAAGATCTCAGGGCAAATATTTCGCAGTAACGCTCAGGCACGTCAGACACTCGACTAATGTGACTGTCTGGTGACAAGATACGTTGTCTGCACATTAAAGCAAGACCTGAAGAATATAGAATTATAAATTATAATATTAGTGTGCTTTAAAATAGAAGAAATCACAGTTTGCCAGGTTTGCTGTCTTAAAAAAAACATTCATGGTGTTTTTGAAATTAAACAAAAATGTGTTAAATTAAAATTTGAAACTATATAAATTAATTGCTTGCCGGCAGCTAGCTCTCTAAAACTCTCTCTTAAACTCTGTTATTATTATTATTATTGTTACTTTATTATTATTATTATTATTATTATTATGATCATTATTAATATGTCTTTATTGCTTGTTATTATTATTACTTTTTAATATTAATATTTGTATTTATTATTGTTATTTTCATAAAAAAAATTCATTATTATTAATTTATTATTATTATTATTATGTCTTTATTATGAATATTATTTGTTATTATTATAAATGTTGTTTATTAATATTATGACTATTACTAATAATACTATTTGAATTTATTATTGATATTTTTATTAATTTATTATTATTTTAAATTTGTTATTTCAATTTTTTATTTATATAATTGTTTATTTATTATTATTTTTTATTTATAATTTTTATTTATTATTATTCATTTATTATTATGACTTATTATTTTAATGAATTTCTTAATATTATTGTTTTTATCAAAATTATTATTGTTGTTGTTGCTGCTGTTTACACTTTTTTGCCTTGTAATTTACAAAGAAAATTCTTCTAATCAACCTGGTGTTTTCAGATTAAAGTGACAACGATGGGTGACCTGCGGAGCCGCTGGCAGCGTTTCGCTGAAGATCACATGGAGGGCCAGAAGCTCAACCCTTTCAGTGAAGAGTTTGACTATGATCATGCAATGGCCACTCGACTCCACAAAGGCGACGCGGGCTACGGACGACCCAAAGAAGGATCCAAAACAGCTCAGCGAGCAGATCGAGCCCAAAAGCACATCTACCGCGAGATGGAGGAGATGTGCTTCATCATACGAGACATGGGCCAGCAGGACAAACAGGGCCAAATCTGGGTCACCTTCGGCCGCCTCTTCGACCGCTATGTCAAGATCTCTGATAAAGTGGTGGGCATTTTATTGCGCTGCCGCAAACACAAGATGGTGGACTTTGAGGGCGAGATGTTATGGAAAGGACAGGATGATGATGTTATTATCACACTGCTGGTTTAAGGCTGTTAGCATAGCAGAAACTAACTGACAGTAACTACTGTATGGTCTTTTGCACAAGCATCATTTAGTAACTATTGCATTTTTTTTATATTGCATTTTAAATTTCCATTCAGATAATACAGAAGGAAAAACAACTACAAAAAAATTCAGTATTTTGCATCAATGTTTATGGCATCTCTTTTTCATCAATCAACACATTTCCAACTCCACCACATTTTATCAACAATTCACGAGTTCACACTCACAGATGTTTGACTGAATAGAATATGCGTATTTGGCGTCCTGTCCAAGGAGAGGGCTCTGAACTCGGGAAGACAACCTAACTCGTGTTATTCCCCTTATCAGGATAAAGAGAGGTTCTGAGCGCAGTGTCTAGCCTGGCTCCAGAACGCTCCCCCTTTAGAATTAAATAGGTATCTGGTTTAAAAGTGTGGAGTTGGGGTGGTGGAGGGATGCTGAAGTCGAGAGAAAACGGAGGTATGACGTGTTTGACTATTTATAGGGGTTTACTCTTGAGCTGATTGGATAATAGATTGTGTGTGTGATGAATTAGTCTCGTTAAAGACTGATCGTGCTCCTCCAGAAATTTGTTTATAAAACATCTTTAATTGTTGGTCTCCAAACTCCCTCAAAGATCTTATATATTTATCTCTTAATGTATAGTTTATCTTGTACATTGTCATGTTTGTAACCATCTCTTACATACTATACTTGCTGTTCTTACATTTTTCTCTAATTTAAAGAAATAATCCATTTAGCTTGAAGAATACATACATATATTTATTAATAACTGTTGCGGTTTTTATTAATAGTTTGAGTTTTTTTTATTTATTTAATTTTTTTTATTTTGGTGTTTTTTTGTTTTAATGTCTTTATAGTTTTAATTTCGTATGTTAGCTTTAATTATGTTAGTTTTATTATAAATTAAGCAGGAATAATAAAAAATATTTATTGACATCTATGGCTGAAATAAATAAGTTTCAGTTTTCAGTTAACTTTTAGTTTATTTTTAAAAATTTTGTTTTTGTTGTGTAAGTTAATTGCAAATTGTTGTTTTTGTGAGAGTAGTATGCAAATACTGTAACTTTTCCAACAAATACACTGAAAAAAAGTATGTAAAAACTATTTCCACAGAAATGTCTTGTTAAATTTCACAAATGACAATAACACTGTCACCTATTTCTTATTTTGTGCACAGTTTGTTATTTTTAACAAAGAAGTGTGGCAAGTGCACTTAAAAGGAGTGTGACGCACTTGCTTTTTTCAAGTGTGCTACAGTTAAAAACCTTCAAAAAAGTGCTCCAAGCACATGTGATAAGAAGCAACCAATCAGCTTCACCAGCTATTTTTGAGCTCATTCTTCACATATGAGCACGTGCAGCAATTGGAATCGTTTTGGCTGGAGATTTCAGCCCTCATTCACTTTCATTGAATTTTAGAGATTAAAAACAGCTCGTTGTCCTGCTTGATATTGCAAACTGATATTTACTCATTATGTTTTTCTACTTTTTAATGTGTAGTCCTGAACACACTTGTTTGTAGAGCAAGTAGTTTTCTTTCATTTATTATTACTATTCATTTCTCCCATAGGTGACTGAATCGGGAGTGCTATAAAAATTTAAAAAATAAGCGAACTTCAGTATTGCAGAATATAGTCAATATTACATACACATTTTAGTTATTACGGCTAACAACTAGTTAACTTCGACAAATACATAGCACCCAGTAATTTATTTATTTATTTATTTATTTTATTTAAAAAAATTGTAAATAAAACTTATATCAGACCTGCAGCAAGGTTAAGTCAGTGGTGGATCTTCAGAAAGCGCATCATGATATTGGTGGATAAATCTGCATTTTCCACATTGCTTTAGACATGATACATAAACAGCCCCGTAAATATTAAAACACTTTTCACAATTGTAAATTGAAAAATGAAATAGTATTGTCTTGTGAAACCTACTCAATTTTTATTAGATTTTTTTTCAAAGACTTACTCTTAAAGACTTCACGTGTATCATTAGTGGATGAATCAGCGTTTTTAAACCTCTTGATTGCTCAAATCGGTAACAGAAATGCATTTTAACGGATGTATTGTATAGTTAAAGTCAGAATTATGAGCCCCCCTTTGAATTAAATTTTCTTTTTTAAATATTTCCTAAATGATGTTTAACAGAGCAAAGAAATTTTCACAGTATGTCTGATAATATTTTTTCTTTTGGAGAAAGTCTTAATTGTTTTATTTCGGCTAGAATAAAAGCAGTTTTTCTTTTTTTAAACACCATTTTAAGGACAATATTATCAGCCCCTTTAAGCTATATTTTTTTCGATAGTCTACAGAACAAATCATCGATATAAAACAACTTGCCTAATTACCCTAACCTGCTTAGTTAACCTAATTAACCTAGTTAAGCCTTTAAATGTCACTTTAAGCTGTATTGAAGTGTGTTGAAAAATATCTAGTTTAATATTATGTGCTGTCATCATGGCAAATATCAAATAAATCAGTTATTGGGGATGAGTTATTAAAACTATTATGTTTATAAATGTGTGTAAAAAATCTTCACTCTGTTAACTAGAAATTGGGGAAAAAAATTAACGGGGGCAAATAATTCGGGGGGGCTAATAATTCTGACTTCAACTGTATGTCTCCACCAGTTTCCACAACAATGTTATTGATGATACAAGCCTTATTTTGAAGCATCAAGTTACTTAATTAACTTAATTTTGATCACTTCTGTGGACAGAATTGTTAAATATCTGGTGTGTACGTGTAATTCCTGGCTAAATTTATTAGTGTTTCATAACAAATACTCATATACGGTGTGATTAAAAAAACTCAAGCTGCCCCATAACAACACAAAAATGTCTTCCTTCTGGGTCAAACACAGATTGAAAGTACAGCTGTGATCATTTTAAATAGAATTGCATGAACTGAACTGCGTCATTTAGAAATATGATTGCATGGGTTTCTGAATCAAGCTTGTGATCTTTATTAATCATGCAGATCTACTTTGTAGCAGGTGAAACCTCACATTTCTTGCTTTGTATGCAATTTGAAGACTAAGAAACCTCTAAATAACCATAGTTGTTTTGGTACACACTTCCACATAAGGTAGCTTGAGTGTTGCTGAACTATGATAAATTAAGATGCGACGCTCAAGTTTCAATTTAGCCTCTATTTTTAATTTTATAGAGCCGTGATGAAACTGTAGACGCTTGAGATCGTTCCAGAGAAACCGATGAACTTTGAGATTCATTTTAGGACGTGATGTGTTTGGAAAGCGGCGTCTGGGTTTGGTTGTAGTGCTGATGGAGGGTCTTGATGTTTGAGATGGTGAAAGTTGGACTCTTAGCTCACAGTTTACTCAAGGGGACAGATGCGTCTCCAGTTTGTCTCCGGCCTCTGCTGAATGCTCAACACTCCACACATGTTATGGAAATAATCTCAGGTTTCATACATGTAATTCAAGGGCAAATCCGTTCAGCCATGTGATAATGGGGTTAGATTTATCTTTGTTTTGTTGCTGTTATCATTTCCCATATTAATATTTTGTTGTTTTTAAAGGATTTGCTGCTGTTTTATTGTTTGTCGCTCATTTTATTAACCTCTTTCAAAATGAAAGCGTGATGGTCTTCTTACAGAAGCATTAGTTGTAAATATTTGGAAATATATATGGTCATGTATAAGAAATAAAAACTTGATTTGTTTATTTGACGTGGTATTAAGGATGAAATAAAACCACATTTAAAATTGACCTTAGTGTATGTGAACATCTTTGTGCTTGCTGTTTCTTTAAAGGACACATTTAATTTTTAATAGTAATATGATAGAACTGTATAAAAAACAAGGTGAGCCATTTATATGGATACACCTTAATATAATGTGAATGGTTGGTGATATTAACGTCCTATTTGTAGCACATCGGTATATGTGAGGGGGCAAACTTTTTAAGATGGGTGGTGACCATGGTGGCCATTTTGAAGTCGGCCATCTTGGATCTAACTTTTATTTTTTCAATAGTAAGAGGGTCATTTGACACATCAAACTTATTGGGAATTTCATAAGAAAAACAATGGTGTGCTTGGTTTTAACGTAACTTTATTCTTTGAGTTATTTACAAGTTTCTGAACACTAATAAAATGTGTTCAATGTGCTGCCCATTGTGTTGGATTGTCAATGCAACCCTCTTCCCCCACTCTTTACACACCGCAGGAGAAATGCCAGCACAGGCTTCCAGTATCCGTTGTTTCAGGTGCTGCACATTTTATTCCCATTTTTATTAAGGTGTATCCATATACATGGCCCACCCATTATTATTAATTATTTATACAACAGTTCTGTCTTATTTTTAAATCTGATTGGCTGATAGCCATGCGATATTCTCTAATAACAGCACTCATACAGTCTCTTCACCTTTGTATATTACTCCGCCCACATACAGCTACAAGCAGAGGACACTCTACAGTTTGACAAATATTGCTGCTGTTGGACAACATAATGTACTTTTGAGGCTTTTTTTTAGTTGAGAATGTAGTTGTTTAGGTTTAGATCACAACTATGCAGTTTATTTGTAAGGATAAGGATATTTGTAAGGGTAAGAATAAAGTGCCTATTTTAAAAATTTGATAATTTTCGAGATTTAGTGCATCGGCAGCCATCAGCCTGTCTGAGCAGACCAAAGAAAGTGACTGTTGATGTTTTGCCACAAGATGGCGACGGAGACTGCATAACAAGTCCTTAGAGGAAAAAAAACTCAGCATATTCTCAACGTAAGTTTCAAACTACAGCTGAACAAATCATAATGAATAAGTTAAGTGACACTTAAAGTCAATCTCTCTCTTTTGTATTTTTAGTTCTGAATTTTTACAGTAATCTGGTAGTGTTTGCTTTGCCTTTTTCAGGGTTAATTAGTGTGAAATTCTGATTGCAACAGAGAAATACTGGGAAATCTCTGTAGACTTATAGCATTTCATGCCATTCAGCCTTTTATTCTTAAAAATTACCTGTTTTGTTATCATTTTAGACATTACGCTAGAGAATCATTCAAATATCTCTAAAGTGACGTTGGTGAATTAACATCGATTTCTGCTGTTCTGACGTTCAGCTGCAGATGTGAATAATTGGCAGGAAGAAAGTAGTTCCTCATACAAAATGGTTTTTGAGACTCATCGTGTTTGATTTTCTATTTTCATATACACGATTACGCTGTTGAACGGTTGTATAAACACAATATCAAACTCGTAGCAGTGGGACATGGCTGTATGTCGTCACTGGTGGGACACAAAGGCACAAGGGCTGTAGCCTCAAGCCAACCCACACTTCCTACCAGTGCCGATATACAGCCACATCGCACTGCTACGAGTGTGATGTTGCTCATATATATCCCAAATAAATAATAAATTGGATTTGAATTTACTTAAATTTTTATGATTTTTCATTTGGATTTATTTTGTATAACATTTTAGTATTTGCTTTTTAATTATTATTACTAATTTTAAAAATATTTGCATTGGAAAACTATTTCATATAAGGCTGGGGGTTGAGTATATGTAATTTTAATTAGCTTGGTTTAATAAGAACATACAATCAATTGTGTGTGTGGGATGTCTTTGATGTTTGATGTGTGTACAAGCAACCTGAATTCTTTGTAATTACATCAAACCAGCTGAAGATTATTCATCTGCCCTTTTGACACACACACTCACGCACACATACACAATGATGAAACACAACCGTATCCCCCAAATACCAACATCCAGCTCAATTTCCAAATCAAGAGTGCTTGATCTAATTTTCCTTGATCTCACTCTTAAAAAGCCATTTGCTGTGCTGATAAAGAGCTGAGTGAAGCTGACAGACACAGAAATCTCTCTTTCTCTCTGACGTCTGCAATACGGTCCCCTTTATCAGAAGCTTTCCTCTGGAAACCTCAGTCATCAGACACACACACAGGGGTTTTGTAAATCAGAGTGAGCTATTTTATTCTGTATAACCATTTTCAACAGAGTAACAATACACTAAATTGTGTATTAATCAACAGTGACGTTATTTTACCAATTCAGATTTACATATGATGAATAGTTATAAGGAATCAAACGAGTATCTCCATGAAGAAAAAGATCACAGCGTCCAATTTTAGGATTAAGTCCATTATTTTGTCTTATCAACTTTCAACGAGTACAGTTGATATGGTTAGTTACAAAACCGTGTGGTGTAAAACGCAACGGTGACAGAAGGCCGTGACTGTTTACCAGATTAAAATTAAATACAAAACGAAAGTCAGACAAATGAAATAAATAGAATGACATTCTTGCATGCTCGTTTTCTCCGCCGTACGATTGGATTTTATGTTAAGACCTCTGGTTTACAAGTTAAGGCGTTACAAAATCTATTTCCTATTAATTCAACAAGTGGAATGGATATAATTTGTTTTTGTACTCTATAAATCACATTCTTTTATCTGTTTCGAAGTTGAAAAGCAGTTACTGCATGTAAATATATTCAATTCAGCATCATGCTGACAAAAACAGGAGATCTGTCTTGTAATTTAACGTATAAATAATAAAGTAATACAACCGGAAAAACTGAAATAGAGCACAACATTCGGGTTCTGGAAGTACAAAGTCTATTCATTTGCTGCAACCCAGGCTCATTCTGGAAACGTAGCC